ATATATATATATATATATATCATCAAAGAAAGGTAAATACAGTGTTCGAATAAAGACATAAAAATACATCGTGTAGCATAGCTTTGAACGACTGTTTTCCTACAAAAAATTAGACATTGTGTAATAAAATGCCTCTGTTGAGATTCGAACCTGTGACCTCTCTCTGGGGTCTAATGGTTATGACGCTAGCCTTGACAGCGAGAGGTCGCAGGTTTGAATCCCGTCAGAGGAATTTTATGTAAATGTAATGTCTTGTCTTAAACGACAAGATAAGATCTCCAAACTTACTTTATTGCAAGAAATGTAACACTGATAACAAATAAACTATCGTCTTGTGGTAAATGCTTTTTGCATAAATTATAAACGGTAAAGAAGAGAATTCTGCGAGTCTGAAAAAATGCCCTCAACCGGGATTCGAACTCTGGATCTCCTGCTGCCTATGCAGACGCCTTAACCAACTAGGCAATTGAGGCTTTCGTTGGAAGTTCGAATCCAGGGGATATGAAAACATTTTTTCAGAACTTCAAATTGTGGCTTTTAGAAGAGCTAAAAACTTGAAATATCTTTTAATAAATGCAAAATTAACACCCCCCCCCTAAAAAAAAAACCATCAGAAGGGAAAACCGGTTTCGTTCAATGCCCTTCAGAAAAGTGCTCTATCAGACTATTTATAAAAATAACTAAAACATTTACCAGTAAAGTAACCCGACAATCCTTCCCAATCACAACAAAATGGATTGGTGAACATAATAAATAATCAAAATTTATATAGCGCCTAATTTTAGTAACCTCTAGGCGCTTAACAGGGGTGGCGCCAGCGGCGCCCCCCACCCCCCGCCGGGGAGAAAAAGCACAATTCGTCGGGGAGAAAAACGAATTATATGTATTTTCTACATATTGGTAAACTATAAAATCGAATAAATAAGCCTTTGAAACCCCTAAATTGTCAAAATTTCGGAACCTTTTAATCGAAGCTTGACCACGCCCACTTTGCTTTCATCAGGTAAATCTGACCCCTGGCCGGGATATCGGCCACCTCGTCGGGGACTCCCCCCCCCACCCGGTCGGGCAAATCCTGGCGCCACCCCTGGCGCTTAACAACAACATAATATTAAAACAATAAAAAATATAACAAAAACCAAAGATGAGATCATTTAAATGGTCCCACCCACTGATGTCAAAGTAACGTCGCTGTCCCAATGAGGCAATTTACACGCAGGTAATCCACAAAAGGCAAAACATGTCAAAATGTGGTAAAGAATACGTGGGGAAAACCACTACATCCTTTACACAGATTCACAAATCATAAAACAGACATTAAACACCATAATATCCCAACAAGTAATAATTTACCAGTTGGCCGTCGTTTTACTCAAGCCAATTACTAGAAAGACAATACAGTATATCAATTAGGCCTATGTATTGAGCATATAAGAATAAATTATCAAGAAAAGAGAATCATTTTGAATGACAAAGTTAGTCCATTACATTTCTTTTCTAAAACTTTGTGTTTTCGATGTAGGCCTACATCATTAATTTCATGCTAATTAACCAATTTACAATATTCAAACACCCGTCACCAATATAATTACGATACATATACCGTACACACTGCTTTATTCTACAGTACTACAGCAGAAGCAATGCAGTAGCCAGCTACTGGGACAGTTGGAACAGTCCCACACAATTGTCATGATTGGTCCACAAAGAATGGGTCCACATATTAAAAAATGGTTCCAAATTATGCAATTTCATGCATAAAATGAGTCCACTTTTATAAAAATTGGTCAAGATTTCTTATAATTAGCATAAAATGGGTCAAATTTTAAGAAAACGAGTCCAGATTGTTCAAATTTTTGCTTGAAGGTAACTCTTAAGAAAATGGGTCCACATTATTTGAATTTACGCGTAAAGTGGGTCCACCATGATATTGTCCCGCACTGTTTTAAAAGCTTGGCTACGGCATTGCCAGTAAGGTAACACATACTGTACTTAGTAGATAAAAATAGAAACAAAACCTACCCAAACTTCAATATTTACAATACAGTATTGGAAACTATAATATGGACCTACCTATATTCATTTAAATTGACATTTAATAAATTTGTGAAATGTTTGCCGGTATATCTTGTTCCGCCAACTATATATGAAAGGATTCATACAAGAGTTAGATATGAATACGAACAAACAAGCCTGCCAAAGAAGTGTCCATTTTTCGGGTTCGGTCGTGCTGCTTCTCATTATCATACACGGCATGAATGTTAGGGTGTACATAGTAAAAACAATGAAGAACGTTTTTACTACACTTGTATTAGGGTTTACTTGGTTTCCTGTTCGCATTCGACTCTTAACTATAAATCTGAAAATGATTCCGTAGAATAAGGCAACCAAACACATATTAATTATGCAGATGGCACCTAGAATGAATACCTTTTTTCCTGTGGCTTTAGGAAATCCACAAATAAGCATTCCTTTATGAAACTCTATATATAGGTTTTCTCCATTAAACAAAAAATAGAGAGCAAACGATAAAATCCAGGTAAATACACACATTGCTAAACTTAAATTTCTAGTGAACATTTTTGCATAAAATTTGTTGTAAACAACGTACACAAATCGACTTAACGCTATAACAAATAAATTAAAAATAGAAAAGAGTGATAAGATTGTAATAATTGAACCATTAATGGTGCACCAAATCTGAGGAAAGACAGACCGTCGATATATCAGAGAGACAATCCAGTCTGGACAGATGATGCTAGCAATAATTAGATCAGATATCGCCAGGTTTATTACAAAAAAGTTAGCAGTATTTTGCCTTATAAGTTTGTTAGTCAAAACAGCGAGTATTGTCATCACATTACCGATAATCCCAATAACCGCCACAATCGTAACAGAAATTACCATCAGCACTTGTTGTATAGACTCGGCTACTTCAAGAATCCCCATGTTCTCAAACCGTCTCTGATTAAACAACAGAATACAATACAATAATTAATAAACGTTATTCATATTATTGTTTAATTATTATTTTGAACATGACATAGTAATAGCTTATTACAAGGGCATTAGCGAGAATGCTGTGTATCAATATTTTAAAAGGATTTTGCTGAGGTATATATATATATATATATATATATATATATATATATATATATATATACAC